GCTATAGTAAAGTTTCCCAATGATACCTTCTTCCATCTGGGTGCCATGGGTAACTAATTAGAATATAAAAGATTGGTCATTTTGCATACAAAGTAGAATGCCTTCCTGAGTGTATGCACCATGTCTCCTACAGCACCAATTAGGGCAGTCTCCATAAGTTTCTGTAGAAGGTAATCTCTAGTTTGGTCATAGAGAAAGCCAGCACAGGGGACAGTGTTTTAGAAGTCCATTTTGGTGTTATAGGGACAAAGACCTCCTTTTGGCAACCTGCTGGTGAGCAGTCTCCAGCTCCTGCTGTAGAGAGAGAGCAAAGAGCGTTATTCACACAGATGAGCACTGGAGAAGCCAGGAAAGTTAAACACACAGCTTACCTCTTCAAGGAAATAAGGTGCACAGCTGCTCTTCCTGGAATGCTAAGAATGTTGCCTTGCCATTTTACAACCTGGCCATCCTCTGTGGTCTGAGGAGACAGGCTCTGCTGCATCTCTCAGAATTTATGTTGTTACTTTTCTAAGACCTTTTCCCCTAAGCCTTGAGCATTGCTTTTAGACGATAAACCCATTCCTATGAGTGATGTTACCTGTGCTTTACAACAGCCTAAGAGACTTCTATGTTATCTTAGGGCCAGGTCAATCCTGCCACCCACAGGTAAACTCCCTAGACCCTAAATCTTGAGCACTATCTCTGAGTCAACAGCACCCATTTTTGTGAAAGAAACCAGATGTAATTTGCAAAGGATCTCAATGTTAACATGTCTTAAGCTGTTGTGCACTTGGGACTGAGTTAATTGTTATCTGAATGCTTTTTTTTTTTTTTTTAAATTGTGCTGTGCTTAAATATGGCTGAAGTAAAATGATCTGGGCCATACTCTAGATGTCCTGGTCCAGCACTGGTTACAATAAAATCGGGCTGAGCCATTTTATTCTTATCTCTTCGTGGATCATTTTTTCCTTTTCTTTTTTCTTTTTCTTTTTTTTTCTTTTCTTTTTTTTTTTTTCCGAAACAGGGTTTCTCTGTGGCTTTTGGAGGCTGTCCTGGAACTAGCTCTTGTAGACCAGGCTGGTCTCGAACTCACAGAGATCCACCTGCCTCTGCCTCCCGAGTGCTGGGATTAAAAGCGTGCGCCACCAATGCCCGGCCATTTTTTCCTTTTCTGCTGTAAAGTTTGCAGGGGAAGAAGTCACCCTACTCCACCACAGGAGTGGTCTGATTGAACCATCGAGAATACGTTTCCTGAACTTTCCATATCTTACTATAACAACAGCATACGGGGGGGGGGGGGGGGGAAAATTGAAAAATTTTTCTTTTCTTTAAAAACCCTTTTG